GTGGATGTATGGATGTGTTATTTTCAAGTTGTCCGACGTTATAGGGGAACGAGTGAAATTTCGCAGTTGCCGCGCACCCACTCGAGCTTTCAATTTAACCATCCTGGAACGATGTTTGGTATATATGTATATACATATATATATATATCATAATTTGTTAACAATCTAGGTTTTCCAATCTTTTTCTAATTATCTTCAAATGTCATTAAATGGTCATAATTTAATATAAGTGCATTTAGAAAATAAGCTTTACTAGAGATTACATCATACAGGATTCAGTATGTTATTTCGTCTCCGAAAGATTAACCTATCGAATATCACTAAATCAATTTATGTTGTCAAATGTTTTCAATCTTTAACGCTGGAATCATAAAGCGAAGTTCCAACTGTTCGTTTAATAATTTTTCACCACTGAAAAGTTATTATAAAAAATTATAATTACTATTATTAATATAACTATAAAAAATTATAATCTAATTATAAAATAATTAATTTTATAATTATAATTATAAAACACTCCACGATTTTACAAAATTTCAAGAAACTGAAGTACTTGTAACAAGCAAGTACTACTTTTGTGAGCTAATTTAAATATTACTGTCTAAACAGAAAATTATCTAAATATATATATCCAATATTATCCAAAAGGAGAAAAGAAATGAATAGAATGAAAGAGAAGTATAGAGAAATAAATGAAAGGAGCGTAAAGGAGCGTAATACGTTCGGCAATATAAAAGGGGCGAGCGATTCTCGTCGCCGGGAAAGCCGGGAAACAAATTCCTTCGGTTCGCTCCGTCGCGCGGCGCTCGAATGACCACGGCGTCGATTTAAAAATCAGAATAGCGGCGCCAAAAATGTCTTCATCTTGCCGAGCGTGCCGCCGATAAAGGCAGAGAAATGACAGGGACGGTAAATTCTCGTGCTGTACAGCGCCGCGACTCGAATGGCCGAGTAGGATCGCCGTCGTGCAACAACCCTACGAACGAGTCTGTCACCGAGCGAAAAAAGCGTAGAAAGGGATCGGCGATGCGGATCGATCGTAAAAGCGTCCTCTCCACCCTGTCGTGCAACCACTGATAAATATTTTAGGGTTTAGCTTCTCCTTAGCTCTTTCCTCGGCGTGTACGGGCGACCAACTTGGTCGGTCAGCTGGTACTGATTGCGGACCATAACGAGCGACCGAACTGTGTACAATAATTCGTCGCTTTTTTTTTTAAATTCGTCGGTATTATACGATATCACTGGATAGAAATTATTGAGAAGTAATAAATTTATTATTCGCTTTGCCTGGGTTATACTTAAATATACTTAAAATACTGAGAAAATGTTGCAATTTTGGGACAAAAAATTCTTGGGACATGCGTGGCACGTTATTCTAGCGCAAGAGGTTATAACCACTTGCGCTGGCAACTAATTGCGGACCATAACGAGCGACTGAGAACCGTGTACAATAATTCATCGCTTTCTTCTTCTATTGAACTCATCAGTGTGATATCACTGGATAGAAATTATTAAGAAGTAATCAACTTATCGTTTGTTTTGCCTGGGTTACATTTAAATATATTTGCAATTTAGAAAATGTTGCAATTTTGGAACAAAAAATTTTCGACGTGCGTAGCAGCACGTCATTACAGCGCAAGAGTTTAACCACTTGCGGACCATAACGAGCGACTGAGAATCGTGTACAATAATTCATCGCTTTCTTCTTCTATTGAACTCATCAATGTGATATCACTGGATAGAAATTATTAAGAAGTAATAAACTTATCATTTGTTTTGCCTGCGTTTTTAAATATATTTGAATATATTTGAAAATGTTGCAATTTTGGGACAAGAAATTCTCGACGTGCGTGACACGTCGTTCCAGCGCAAGAAGTTAAGAACAGCGTTTCCGGCAGTAAAGGCAGGAAACACCGTGGTGCGATAAAAGTAATGAGCTGCGCCGTTTGCAGATTTACTTCATTCGCCAGTGGAGCAACTCGAACGACTGATCAGACTCAGTCGAGACACCGGAGCGCGATACCGTTTTATCGTGGCTAAAAGTAGCTCGGTTATTTGGCAGATTGATCGTCTTGGAATTCGGCAACGCCTCGTCTCGTAATCGAGAGTTTTGGTGACTATCGGTCATCGATTTGGTGAAATTCTATGGGAAGAGAATGGTTAATTGGATACAGATGGTTGTTGACACAGAGTAGTCAAAAGAATATATCGGCGCATCTTGTTCTTTTCGTGATATTTATGAGAATGATATATTCGAAAAATTTATAATTATCCATAAATAGTTTACTATGCGCAGAAATAACGTCTACAGTAAGTTAATTTACGTAATATTCGACAATGATTTGTAGAATAATAATACAAGAAACATGAAAATTCGAGTGTCAAGAAATTATGGATCACACTCGTAATTTCAGTGCTTAATCTGCGTTTAAGGACGGAATATTATTAGAAAAATTACGAAATATCCTTTTGTGAATGTTATCGAGTAATATCGCGCCAATATTAAGAAAGTACGCTTGTTTTTGAACCAGAGCTGTTGCTTGTGAGATACCTAGGACGTATACAAGATAATTGAGATTGCATATCTATCATTTCTATTCATATTACTCACATGTCTACAATGTAATTTATGCTTTGATGATAAATAATAAAATACTGAAATACTTTTTGATGAAAATCAAACTTTTACGTAAATATTGCTAAGTCTAGATTTTTCAGTAGTAGCAAATAGTAGGTTTTTGTTTTTTTAGAGGAGGTGGACATCTCATTTTTTCAACAAATTATATTAAGAGATAAATTCATAGTAAGATAAAGGGCTTGATTCTTTGATTCAATTTAGCCAACAAATTTGGAGCCCGATATTTCGTATGGTACCACTATAATATATCACTCAGAGAATGAACGAAATTTGAAAAAAAAAAATAAAATAAACGAGCGTGACGATGTTTGCCAAAAATAATCTCGTTCCAGAAACGAGTGGTAGTTTTTAATTTCGAACTGAAATCCATCGATTAATTAATCTTCCTAAGTGTTTGGGAACACCACGCGGTATATTTCTCTTCAAATTTCGTCGACAATGCAATAACTCGATCGTAAGATCAAACGTATGATTAAACTCGCGCGTGTTCACCGTTCGAAAGTCGCGAGATCTCTTCGAGCTACACTCGCGAGTCACGCGAGTGGCAGCGGACGATGCTCGCGAAACGATGATAACAATAAGAGCAGCGGATTCTTGTCATTTGGAGGAAGCTGGTGCGCGCGTCCGTGTGAGCAGACATTTTCACGACAGTAATTTTTATTCGCCGCGGCCAATGTATCGTGCTTCACCGGCTCCTTTGCGTAAAAGCCTTGTCGGCGCGCGCGGCAGACACTGCCACGAAGGGACGAAGACGAGGGAAAATTGTTATCGCTTCTCGAGACGCTGCTCCCGTATTAGGGTAGAAAGCTTTCCGAAATTTTCGGGAGGAAGAAAGGCGACTACATCGATCCAATTTGCCTAATGAACAAGCCTCGGTCTTGGACGTCTCTGTCCGCGAACAGCATGATAAAACTGTGGCCTCTCATGACTCATTCTTCGGAATCGATTTTGCATGCGGTATAAAACTTGTCCATTTCTCTCTCTCTCTCTCTCTCTCTCTCTCTCTCTCTCTCTCTGTCCACTGACAATTCAAACGCGTCCGAGACGGTAGGTAAATGCGGCTCTCGGTATTGAGGGTGATCTACCTTGGCGATCGTAAATTCCAGCGAAATTGAAATTATAAAGTTGCGCGGAATGACGAGTTCTTTAATTCTACTTGGTGGATTTATACGTTCGCGAGCAGCAGCAGCAGTAGCACGAGCAGGGAATTCTTCAGACGTTGCGGCGGTTGTCTTTCATCGAAATCAAACTTATCCGGTATACTTCGGCGTATCAAAAAAATTACGCAGTCATTTCTCTGTCGCCGAAGAGATAAATCATTTTTTACTTCTTCGCCGGTTTCGTATTTTAGTCTCATTGAACAATCGACGGAGAAAATTAGGAATAATATATTTCTGTGGAATAAAAATAGAAATAACACCTCTGTTCATACGCAGAATATAGCTTATAGCTTTTGCCATGCTTATTTTGTAGTATGGTGAACGCATTTATATAGTCTCTCTCATGTAGTCTTATGAGAAAGAGAATTATAAGAATTATACTTGACAAGAGTTGATAAGGACCCGCAAGCCGGTATGCTTGAATTCTCGGTCGAAGAAACATAATCGTCGTCGATGTAGTGTTTAAGTTAATCTGAGCTCTCGGGCGTGAAAGAGCAGAAGAGAATATTGTGTAAACATTTGATAAATGCTTTGAAATAAAGCCAAAAGCTGTAATTGAATATAATGACACCATGGCAGGCGTAGATAAGGCAGATCAATTTTTGAAAAATTATGAAATAATAAAAAAAAAACGTGGAAAAGAGAATTATTTTTCATTTTTAAAAAACTCATTTACCACTTGAATCTCCCCCTTTTTTTACATCAGTATATAAAATAAGCAAGCAATTTATGAAGAAAAAAAAACAGGTAGACATTTTTTGGACCGTGTTGGAAGGCAAGGAGTAGAAGGATAGCTAGAATCACTAATAATATATATATATATATATATATATATATATAATGTAGTATATTATATTACCTAATAATATATATATATATATATATATATATATATATATAATTACGTATTATATACGTATTATACAGTGTCAAACGTATATTAGTATGTATTATATAGTGATTTTATATATATATATATATATATATATATATATATATATACATATATTATTAGTAACTCTAGCTATCCTACTCTGCCTTCCAACAGAATTTCGTCAAATTTGCGGGCAAGGGGATAAAATTTGAAAATACGTTTCTTCTTCTGTTTGCCAGTCAGCCATTGATCAGCCAACAATCAACTGGTCGTATGTATATTTACCGTCCTGTCATATTTACGTATTTGAATTCGGGATTTGCTTTCTGTTTGCAGAATTCCATAAGACACAACCTGTCGTTGCACAGCAGATTCATGCGGGTGCAGAACGAGGGCACTGGGAAAAGTTCCTGGTGGATGATCAATCGCGACGCGAAACCAGGCAAGTCGCGCAGAAGGTAAGTGCTCTGCTCGTTTTGCGAATAATTTGTCGTTGTCACGGTGTGTACACGTGCACACGCGCGCGCGCGCACGCACACTGGCACGATGTTCGTCGATGGTTCACAGGGCAATAACCATGGAGACAAGCAAATTTGAGAAACGACGCGGCAGGGTGAGGAAGAAGATCGAGGCGCTAAGGAACGGAGGGTTACAAGCTGACGCGACGCCCAGTCCCAGTAACAGCGTGAACGAGGGGCTCGATCTCTTCCCGGACAGTCCTCTTCAACCTGGCAGTGGGTTTCAACTTTCACCCGATTTTCGGTACGTGTCAGTATGTGCCTCGTTATCCGATTTGCAATTTGCAATTTTTTTTTTTTTTATATTATAGTTTGGCCTTTGAACCAAACGTGAACTCCCTTCTATCTTCGTTTTATTTACCATTTGGCTAGGAATTACTTACAATATGTATATTGATTGTTGTATCGGACGAAGGACGATCGATGCCCGCTCGTTATAACGAATTTAAACGATATTATCAGTTTGACGGTTCTATTTTTCTTGTCTTCGTTCTTAACTGTTATTTATTAACAGACATTCTCGATTGACTGGAGTTTAATCTTGAGCCGAGTCTTGTAATTATGAATTACCTCAGAATTACCTCCAGTCAGGCAAAGAGAAAAAAATAACAGATACTTTCATCTCTTTCAGTGTACTCAAACGTATAGTTTTCATCTCTCTTCGATAGGGAGCGTGCTTATTTACGCGATATAACGATAGAATTGATACGATACGATGTGTGTACAATTACTTAATATACTTAGCGATTTTATTTCCACCCCGAGTCTTTGAAATATGAAGCAATTACTGTTTACGCGTTTCGTAAAAGTGGCTCGGTATTTTTCATTGAACAGGGAGGTAATTACACGTTTTATCATGTGGAACGAATGAAAAGTAAACAGCAAAGATATTGTAGATATTTTTCTTAGCCAATTGGTCGTTGACCTCTCGAACTGAAGATGACAATACGTAAGTTTCTCGAGAACGAAAAGGATATCAATGTCCTCGAAACTCGTCGCGATTTTGTAATTTTGCAGAAGCTTACGCGTTTCAAATACGCTTTTTCTAGCCGTTCGCTCTCGAATTATTATTAGTTTTAATAAATAATGTCGGTGGTGAGAGTTTGATCGGTGACGTTTGAAATGGGATTTCTTATTGAAAATTTAACGTGTTGTTTTGATATCCCTAGCAAAAGGGATCAAATATTTAACGTTTGGCCGCGGAATAATTCGTATCGCTCTTGCCTTAATTTTTCAATTTGATATTTACATTTTATTAAATGCAATATATATATATAGTTCTCGTTTCAAGAACGATCATTCCCAAAGTTATCGTTTAGTTGTTTCGAATTAATTTAATCCGATTGAAAATTGAACTTAAACGCACGATACGATTCTTTGTAATACGTTTATATCATTATTTTTATTGAAGCGTTCCATCAAAATTGATTCAGTTGCGAGGTCGATGCAATTTCACCTCTCTCATAATTACTCTTATCTTTTTAGGTATTTGCATTTAAATTTAACACGGCAAAAAACAACTTCATTTTTATTCGCACGTTATTCACGAGTGGTTACTGTTACAAACATTACAGTACTTACTTATCGCCTTTGGTCCAACGTATAGTCAAAAAGACATCAGTTTCGACCTTTCTATTCTACGCTTTTGTGTTGTGATCGTTCGCATAACTCGCCATTCTCGCTTCTCTGTTCACGGATAGTCTCACTGGGTATGAACGTATTCGTTCGTGTAATAAATTCTTTTAAAAGACAAGTTGCATCATAATGAATGCAGTAGCAACAATGATAATAAGACGAGCAAAACGAGACACAGTAGGTAAAAAATATTGCAATTATAAAAATGTATACGCACGTCGCTCGTCCTATTTTCTCCACTGAAATTTCTGTGAAAAATGTTTTTGTTGTTCAAGGAAGCAAACTTATTGCACGAACCAAACGTTCGTATGACCACTCTTTTTTTTCTATCTTGCGCGTTAAGCCTCGTAGATAGATAGATTGTGAATATCTGCGCATTGAAAATACATTTGAACTGTCTTTTTATTCGAGTCCTCGAGCTTCGAGCAATGCCTCATCCTGTGGTCGATTAAGTCCAATCCCGGCGATCCCTGGGAAACCGGAATGGACACCAACATACACGCCCTCCTATAGCCCAGAACAATTAGGTACGCACCACGATTTCTCGTATTCTCTGTTCGCTAAACTCTCTTCTACTTTTTTTTCATGTGTCGTTATTATTATTATTATTGTTATTTTCTTTATTTCTCTCTGTCGCACCGTTAATTTTTAATATACGCGCAGCACGATTTATTTAGATTTTGCAAGTTTCTTTTTTTTTTTTTTTTTTTTTTTTTTTTTTCTTTTTTTTTTTTTTTTTTTTTTTTTTTTTGCTGGTACGCGAAACTCGACGATATTTTGGCACTTCCGTGTCAAAAATGACAAAAGTTACAATATCAGTCAGAGTTCATTTATTAACGCCAGTATATCGCGCTTTTTACGATCGTGTAGAGGCTATGAGTTTCGAATTGTTCAAGGTTACCGGGTAATCAACGTCACCGCAACGTTTCGCATTTTACTACCATTTTATTATATGTTCGCCTGGCGTAGATGTACGAGCTGTCTAACACGTTGTCGATTTAATCTGGAAAGAGTGTCGGTGTTGGCTCGTAAAGAATTTGTTTTTCTTTTTTTCTTTCTTTTTTTCATCTTTTTGCGCGCGCGCGCGAAGACACGCAGGGACAGGCGACTTTAGCGCTCGATGCGAAATTCCTCGGAAATGTCAGACAGCGACAACAGATTTTATACTTTAATTTACTTTTGTCGTAAATGTCAAGCTCCTTAATAAATGTTATTAATCTTCATGAATTTATCGCAACAGCGAGTATCTCTCGACGCATACATCGGTCACGTTTACGTGAGCCTTAACAGCAAGTTGGAATTGCATTGGTCGTAATTATGCGGACAGTGTAAATCCAAGTTTTGAAATTGTTCGAGTACAAGCTATTCAACTACAAAGTATTGAATTACTATTATTATCGTATTATGCCAATAAAAGGAATTGAAGATAACAGAAGTTTATAATGCTCGGTATATTAATTTAATTTTTTATATTAATGATAATATAATAATCTAATCATATGAAATGAATAATACGTAATTATATCTGATACTATATACAGTATAATAATACGTAATTATATATTGTATAATATCGTATATTAGGTTGGCCAAAAAGTAGCTGCGTTTCTTTGTGTTATTTCAACTACAAATTATTCAACTACAAAGTATTGAATTACTATTATTATCGTAGTATGTCAATAAAAGGAAAGATAACAGAAATTGATAATACTCGATATATTAATTTATTTTTTTATATTAATAATAATAATCTAATCATATAAAATAAATAATATGTAATTATATCTGATACAGTATATACAGTATAACAATACGTAATTATATATTGTATAATATTAGTCTAGCCAAAAAGTAGCTGCGTTTCTTTGTGTGCAAATGAAAGGCGAATTTTTCATGAGAAACAAAAACATTATTGATATATTGACCATCTTGTTCGATTATCTTTTGCCATTTTTCGGGCAACTTCTGTTCAAACTCCGTGTTCAAAAAAGTTTTTATCCTTTTCGACAAAAAACAGTTTCAAGATCATTCGACAGCCTCGTCAGCAGTGAAATTTAGCTAATCAATTCCAACAGTGCCACAGTTTTAAGATTTCTTCACCATAGACATCAGGTAATTTTTTTATGAGTTTGCACAGCGTTTTTTTTTTTCTTTTTTTGGGAGATAGTAAAATATATATGACGAAAGTGTTCCTTTTTGATTCTCCATTTCGAAATCAACGCCAAACGTTCATTTCCTTTGTCTGAAACAAGTTTAAACAATCAAGTATCAGATTGCACTGGTGAGTTTGCTTCGTTTAAAATGAAGTTAGTTTTAAATATGGAGGTTTACTCCTTTAAATAAGTATATTACGAGATTTAACAAGAAACTGTTCATTTTAATCAATGTATGACAGGATCTTCATAACGACCGTTTGCTTTGGTTGACCTCTTAATAATTGAGAATACAATATATTTTCCGCAATTTTATTTCCTTCTTTCTTCATCTGCAATCGACGTTTATTAAAAATACGCGCGCCACCACCTCTATCCATTAGAAAAGGAAACTTTCTGGCCAATCCAATGACACCTAATTACGTATTGTATAATAATATATATAATATACAATCGTATAATAATATATAATCATACAAAATATATTTCACGTTGATAATGATATATTAATATCTCGTATTGATAATAATAGTCAACAATTGCCGAAACTCGTAGCCTCTGCCTCCCTCGAACGCGCTGTATAAAAAAAACCATCGGCACAAACGCCACAATTAACATACCGTTCTTTCCGCTGAACACGGTCCGGTGTAGCCGGTAGCCTCGCGGAAACCATGAAACTGGAATCGTACCAAATGTATCAGACGTCACCGCCCAGCCACCAACAACAGACCGGGCCGCCACCTTCTTATTACGAGACCCAGTATCAGAGGAGCAATAGCCTGTCGACGGGATCGTCCTCCTTCGCCTTGCAGCCGACTCCTCAATCAGCGAATCAGCAAAGATGCCCGCTTCACGGCCTGCAGCCGTGCGCCTGTCAAATGGTGAGTGGACAAAACAAGTCCCAAATGACCGTTCCAAGTCCCCGAGTGGCCGCAGGTAACACTCTCGTCGTCTGAACATAGTGTACGATAGCTTTTAACCTGGGTTAGCCGCTGATAAACCCGTGAAAGATTGAAAAGGCTGGATCATCCTGGTTCAAAGGTTTCACGGTCGAATTACCAACGAGAGATATTTTCCTGATTTGCCAACTAGCTTTGTTCCTAGTTCTCCGTGTCAATCGGTTCGGTTCGATTGTTTTTGACGTTTCTCTAATTCCGTGCAACTTTAGAGTATAATCAATCAGTGATTATTATTATTATTTTCTTTTGTTCTCTTTTGTTTCTGTAACGAGACGTTAAGTAAAATCAGAACTAGTCTCTGTTTAGAATAAATCCGTGTGCATCGTTTAATTAATTCCTGACATCTGGAGACGTAAGACGTGATTGGAACGGCAAAGTCGCGCGAGAAACTTAAATTAACCGATTTGGTTGGTGTGTATATTTCACCGGTAGATGTGTCGCCAGTGAAATTGACTTCATCATATTTTTAGGTAATTTTGAATTATTATAGCTCGAATTATCTTGTTTTTCTTCTCTGGCGAAGATTGAAATCAGAATATGGAAGGATATTTTTCACATATTTAAGTCGAAATGGCACCGTCTACGCTTCTCGCAAGAATTGGATTAGTTTGCTATTGTTACTCGCTGATCTGATCGAGTCGTTTCTCAGATGAAAACGTCATGCATTTTCATTACTCGAACGACAGAATTTTTTTTCTTTTTTTTTCAAGAAGCTGATTCGAATTTTGCAGCAAAATTTGATTTTAATTTACTTTCAGTTCTGATGTCAAAACGATGTAAATTCTAATCTAACCCAAAACGATAGTCAATTATTCACAATTTAATGAGAGTATTCAAAATGATAAGTCACTTTTAGTTTTTACAGAATGCCGAAATTGATTCCAATTGCTATTATTTTTCGGTTCAACATTCCAAAGATCATCGCCGTGTAAAAGTCAATAATTTCTCTCGTGATTGGGTAATTTCATTCACAATGGTGTTGTATCTGTTTTCCCCCTGCCCGAAAAATATCAGAACTTGAGTCCAGTGGCTGGGATGTCACCGTCATACCAACAGAGTGAACCAAGTCCCACGGCGCTAGGTAACAATCAGCAACAAACTCTTCAGTACATAATGCAGACGCAACAGTGTCAGCAGCAGCAACAGCAACAGCAGCAGCAACAACAACAGCAGCAGCAACAGCAACAACAGTCGCAAACGGGAGCAACAAGATCCAGCCCGCCGCAAACACCTACATCATGCGGTCAAACACCGAGCACGATGATGGGTCAATTGATGGGAGCTCTCAATAATTCGACGCTGCTCGACGATTTGAACATTAACATCGAATCGTTACACGGCGGATTCGATTGTAACGTGGAGGAGGTGCGTTTTATTCCCGACTTTTCGTTGTTACACGGTTTATGAGAAACTTCGCCGTCAATTTCTGAGAATTACTGAGAAGATCAATATCTCTTTTGTCGATTTTAGAAATTCCTACAGATTGAAATACAATTTTCGCGCTCTCGGTCATTTTACATTAGGATCTTAATCTTGTTGAAACTGCACATTCTCAACTGATGAAGTTTTTCCATAAGAGAGAGAGAGAGAGAGAGTACTGTCTGTTCGATGCATGAAAACTGAGAGAAAACAATGAATATTTTAAAGTTTCAAGGAAATGTTTCAACTGACTGCGATTGTATAAAGTATCCAATGTTTGCTATGCTACGTTTAATCGTTAACTCAACATTCTACAACGTTGTGCAACTTGAAAATTAAATATCCATGCATTTGCATTTTGAAAATTTCACTTTGTCCGCTTGTAACCTCTCTTCAGACATAGAAAAATATAAACAGGGCGTTCCCGATCCGACGGTACAAATAAAGAATGAGATTTTTTTCATTTAAGACTGTCGAGATCAGATCGAGTTCGAAAAGTTATTATCGTCGGGTAATTCTTAACGAAGTATGTCTCAAGTTTATTTTTTTGAAAACGAAGCTTCGAATGAGAAGATTTAAATTTTATTTGATTTAATTACACATTTTTTAATTTGTTTCTGCACGTAGAGTAAAACTTTTGTTAAATATTCTTTACCTTCAAGCCTAGAATCCGTTGAATTCAAATGTACTTGACAGATTTTTAAACTCGATTTTCTCAGAAACGAAGCTTTAAATGAGAAAAAGAAATTTATTCTTTCGTTTAGATTTATTTTCTTATGTACCACAACATCGGACATATTAAATACTGAATAGAAAACAAATATTAAACATTAAGTTTCAGTTTAAACAAACTGAATATTACGATTGATATAAATATAGAATATTACAAATTACGGATACAAAGAATTTACTTTAAGCTGCTTAATTTACTTTAAACTTACTCAAAATTCTTCGTCGAACATCAGAACGATTGCTCGATTATAAAAGCAAACGTCGAACGTAAGAAGAGCGTCACACAACTACACGGTCGTCTTCCGCGAATCGTTCGCAGTTCGATCACGGTTTACATACCAAACAAATATACAAATTTGACCGAGACCCGAAGTGAGCGCCCATTCATTCAGTTTTAACCTCTTGCGCTGAAATGACGTGCCGCGCGCACCTCGAGGATTTTTCGTTCCAAAATTGTAATATTTCCTCAGTTTTAAATGTATTTAAGCAAAAACAAAATAGGCAAAACAAATAACAAGTTTATTACTTCTCAGTAATTTCTGTCCAGTGATATCGTACCGGCGAGTTCGAAAAAAGAAGGCGACGAATTATTGTGTACGGTTTTTGGTCACTCGTTATGGTCCGCAGTCAGTTGCCAGAGCGGGTGGTTAAACGCAGTGTTGTACGAACAGCTAAACATTAAACTCGAATGAGGACTGATGGAAAAATGGCATTGTGATCTGCCTCGTTTCAGGTGATCAAGCACGAGCTATCGATGGACGGGACGTTGGACTTCAACTTTCAGCAAGGTGTGATGGGAACGGCGGCGATCCAAGTGAGCGATAGCAACGTTGGCCAAAATGGCGCGGTATCTCAGAACAACGTGGTCGGCACAACGGCTGGGAACGCGCCGGCAGGAGTTTACGTGAGCACCAACGCGGCGACTCCTGCTGCACCTCCCTCGTGGGTTCACTAGCAGTGGACTCCACTGCCCTCGACACCCCCGTCGTCCTTGTCATCGTCTTTACTAGACGGGCAAGAGAACTTCCACGGACAGTCCGAGGGACAGTTCATCGGTGAGTTTAATTGCCACGTAAAACATTTATACGTACAACTGCATCATTAGAAATAATATCTATTATTACATTTTAATTTAAAAAATTAATTCTTTGATCAGACATGTAATGTTATGTAATAAGCTAGATATAAGCTTTTAGGTTCATACCCTAGCGATAAATTAAAAAATTTTTATATAATTATTAAATTAATATTAATTTTTGAAATTAAATATATATATATATATTATTTATTATTTAATAAATAAAATAATAAAATTTTTTTTTTAAATATGTTTATGTTTAATTATATTAATAACAATTGACAATTTTACAATAAAATGAATTATTTATGAATTTTCAATAATTTTATTAATTTGACTTTTAAATATTATAAGAAATTAATTAGAATTTTATTTTATTCAATTTCATCTTTATCATCAATTATGTTTATATTTTTTATTATTATTAATAACAATTTAATTATATTTTCAGACATAAATTCAAAATTTTTAATAATTTTTTTTATTAATATTATTTTTAAAAATAAGGATATTTCCATTTCGTAATTGAATGATTTTCTTGTTGTGAAAAATCATCATGACAACAAGTTTTTTCTTTATCAACAATTATAAAATTTATTCCAATTACATTTATACGCTTGTATTGTTCGACGTTTATTCAAAACGTCGTTCGATAGCTCGCATAGAATTCAATTGACTTTATTCCCGAGTGTCATAGTCTCCCTTATTCCTTTTAGGGATTTCGCAGATCCTAGAAGGTTCTCCGAGGATCCCTTGTATCTGTTTTTCCTTTAATGTGAATTCTGTTGTATTGCCGACTTTTTTAAAAGTCGTTTGTATCTTTGAATCATTCTCACAAAATTGACAAAACTCAAGTTAGTGAAAATATTTTCGTGTCGTACAGTCGCGGTACGTCGGGTCCGCGAAGTTTCGAAATCTCGTCGAACAGCGAATTGATTCGCGTTCCTGATTTCTCGTTCCAATTCTTCGTGTTGACGTTAGACAATAGATAGATCGTTGGAAATGCAAGGATACTTTTCTTGTCGAAAATTGTAAAAATTTCTCCTAGATGATTGGGAAATTTTTTGTCATAACTCAGATCTATCTATTTCTCGAAGACTAAGGTCTTCCCTTCGTATCAACCCTTTAAAACTTACTGTATTTTCGATTTTCTTTTCCCTAATTTGTTGAATCTTGAATTTAAAATTCAAGAAATCCCAACATTTTGTCATTTAACCCCAATGTCCAAGGTTCAATGAAAAGTTTTACAGCGAGTTTTAAGAGGTGATTGTAAGAAGATTTAGACTTTGTAGCAAGAAAAACGAATGGAATTTTTACGATTTCCGGGAACAAAAGCGTGTCCTTGCTACTCGATCTTGGAAAAAAGAGAAACGAACTCATCAAAGTTCCAATTATCAAAGCAGAGCTTTTGCTAGTTCCAATTATCAAATTTATCATTGTGTACCATTTTTTACAACCGTTTGAAGTACAGACAATCTTTCGTTTCACCTCTGCAATTTTTGATCGGAGAATGCTAAATACTCGCGCATTTCCTGTCTTTTCTTTCTTTTTTTTTTTTTTGTTTTTGACCGATACCATCGCGAAGGTATGCAGCTCGAAGTTGGTCCAATAAAAATTTTGCTGCCGGCCAGGCGAAAGGAGAAAGGTACATAGACGCGTAGCAGCAAGCACCGGTTCCGCGGGCAACGTTGATCGCCGTATATGTAAAATAATATTTGCACAATCGTGCCATAACAATGCTTCACTGGTACAGTATTTAATAAATCGCTTCCTCCGTACCTCGTGCGTCCCGCGCGTCGACGCGTTTCGCTCTTCCCACATGATGTTTCGTACGTGCCGCCACATTTATATAGGCAGCCGGTGTATCCTCCACCTGTGTTTTGTCCGAAATCGGTATTGACTTGGTCGCGATAACAGTTACATTTACCTCGCCGTCGAATTATGCCGAAAACATTTGTACACGCTTGTGGAAAAACGTGAAAATTGTGATCGTTCATCACAAAATTGGAAAATTAATAATTCCGCGAAACATTTCTTGGATCGAGGGGATTCTCAACTTCGATCGAGAAAGTGCCAGGGAAAAATTTCCCGATCGTTTCTTTTTATTTTTGAGCAACAGTCGTATTTGTCAATCTTAGTTATTATTTCTCCGACTATTTCTAGCACTCGTAGTCAAAACGGGCTTTAAATATACGCTGTTTTAACTTATTTATTCCCCGTTGGATGTCTATTTGAGGATAGGTTATTCGAATTCGAACGATGTCGGATCGAGATGCTCGGTACATACAAACTTGATCGATCTAAAGTTAATTTGATCAACTGATTTTCTAGAAATGAAAAACCGTGAAAGTTGTCGCAATGCGATCTTTCTTTTCCACTTTCCTCTTTTCACTAAAATATTAATTTAGATATTCCTGTTTTTTTTTTTTTCTTTGCCGAGTACAACAAATGCAAAGTAAACATTCTCATTTGTACGTTAGACACATCCTCTCTTCACGTCTGTATCTTCAAATCAGTTTAATTATACAGTGGATATTCTGTACGAACTCTTTCTTTTTATTCTTCTTTTCATTTCTTTCTTAAATATTTGTACGGGAATATTAATTTAGAAATTCGTGGAATTTAGAAATCCCTCACACAAGACACGCTAACTCTCTTCATTCTCTGTTAATTACGTGTACAATAAATTTTCTTTCCATTCTTTTGTTCATGTTCCTTTTAAATATTAATTTGGAAATTCGCGGTTTTTCATTATTAAACGCAACAAATATCTCACTTATTCATAAGACATATTCATAAGACTATCTTCATTATCTGTATCTTCAAATCAGTCTAATTAATTATGTTTACAATGCTGCTGCGTTAAATCAAAAGAGCGTATCTGAAACTTCCATTTAGATCGAGTCATTAATGCCAAGTAGCATAAAAATAGTGTGTATATGTATATATATGTATATTGTAAGAAATAAACTGAAGATATAATCAGGTTTTTAAAAATTAAAATTAAAATTAACAGGTTCCTTTCAGTTTAAAAAAAATTCTTTCTGAAGTTATATATTTTAGGTAAAAGAATACTGTTTTTGTAGAACTTTTATAAAGAGAAATGTTTCTTTGAACAGTGTTCTCATGGAACAGATATTTTAGAATCTATAAAATAAAAGTCACTTTAGAACATTTAATTGAAAAGTATTCAATGTCAGTAGTTGCTACAAATATTGATCACTTTTTTAATATCATCTGTTCCTCCGAATAGAAGAATTTTTATCTTCATATTTTACAAGTTTCATTCTTTCTGAAACGAAAGAATTTTATTTTTAAGACAGAATTTCATTCTTAAGATTTAATTTCGGAATTTTATTTTTAAAAACATTTGTTTATCCGTTCTCATAAGGACTCGTGAGTGTGAGAACATTTATCGAAACAGTTCCACGATTCGAAGTTTCAAATAAAACTTATTTAAATATTCCTTCGATTCCTGTCCGATGTACATGTACAAAATAATCGATGCCCGATCGTTAAATACTGAAAGTCGTTTGTCAAATCAGCTTTTTTGATCAGACACGCCTATTTGAATTGACACGGTGGAATAAATATTCAGCGTCCGATAAGGATAGAAAACACTCTATAAAAATTTCGCGAAACATTGCTAAACAGACTGTCGAAAATTTAAAAAAAAGAAAAAAAAAAAAGCCAGAGTTCATCCACTCGCTCTGAATTGTTAGTCATTAGTCAGCGGTCGGGGATTAAAAGCGACGATACCTGAGGAAGGGGTGTTGTTAAACGTGCGAAAAATGTCGCGCGTTTCCGCCACAATCCTCCAACGTCCAACGTCCAGCGAGAGCAACATCAGGTTCATCGAGACCATCGTGACAAAAAAAAAAAAAAAAAAAAAAAAAAAAAAAAAAAAAAGATAAAAAAGACGAAAGAAAGAAAGAAAGAAAGAAAGAAAAAAAAATACTCGAGCCGACGAGTCGTAATTCTGATTTGCGAATATCGAGAGCACTAATATAAGTTGATTCGCGTTAATCGGGTTGGTTTTAAACGAGCGCCCGTATAATTCCGGAAATCATGACACATTGGGGGCTTACGATCGACTCGGCCGCTTTTTACCCGCGACACGTAACGCGCTGATTGCGCGTCGGAATTTGTTGCGATTTTGTTTGCCGCGGCGGTGTGTGTGTGTGTGTGTGTGTGTGTGTGTGTGTGTGTGTGTGTCTGTGTGTGTTTTTTTCGCCATCGCGCAAGCGCTCGTTGACGCGTAAAATAGGGAAATTAAAAATCCTCCCCTCCTCCCTTCCGCCTTTCTCGCGCGATGATTAGAGCGAAGGACGACGCGAAATCGTCTCCCGCCGCTGGAAACACGAGTGCGTGTTTAATATAATTTTTTCATTCGGCCGGTAGGCGTGCCGCCTTTTAATCTCCGGCAGCGTGCACAAGTGTGCGGTGTAATTACAATGTTCTGTGCCCCGCTTGTCGCGCTAATGGATACGAAAGTGATGTTCCCCATCGCCGCGCCGCGTGTGCCGTTTCACTCGCGAACGACGCTTCGTTTCGCTCAGAATCGGTGGTCGGTCGAACTTTTTTTTTTTCAATTTCATTCTATCTCATTTTATTCTACTACCGAGGGTATCCTAAAATTGCGTCTCTTTCTCTCGTTCTCTCTTTGTCTTATTCGGAGATCGCGGAGAGAAACGTGGAAAGGAAAGGAAAGAAAAAAAAAAAAAATTCTTTCCTTTTAACGTTATCGTTTTCACAGGAGCGCGGTGATTACACATTCGGAATTACACGAAGTAGAATATTACACTCGCCGGGCAATCGTCGCTGGACCGTGAATTTTTATACGCTCGCTGAAAGTTTGAGGATGTGAAAATATGTGGGATGATTATAACGCAGAAAAATATGCTATGAAACGTAGTATGCGCCTGTTACAATATTTGCGCTAAGTGATAGAGATCGTTTGCCCGCGTTTTGATTATT